CTCACGAGTTCCTTCCATTAACTCTTTAACTCTTTAAAGAGGATGCGGAGTAAACTTAACCAAAAGAAGCTATTTTTTTTTTTTTTATAAATAAAATACAGGTTTTCTTTGGAATTACGGAACTTTTTTCCTCCGCTTATCAATAGAAATCAATGATAAGGACTCCCGTTTTGGCGGACTTTATACGGATGTTGGAGATTGCAATTTATCGCGGAAGATTTACTCGTTTATTTTAAAGTTTAAAAACGTCGAAGAATGAAGAAGAAAGGCAGAACATTTCGTTGCAACATAGCTAATGAATTTGTTCGATTGATTCGTACAACTATTGATATTTGATATTTTATGCGGGATTACACGCTCGTGGTGTATTAATAATTGGAGATATGGAAACTCCATCCGCGAAAGGAAATACCATGATGTAAATGGACGTACGTATAATTTTGCAACGCGTTTTTATAAATGATGGAGCAAGAATTGACAAAAATAAATGATAGAAGAATTTACAATAATATACAAAAATTGAAATATAAATCAATCATAGATAATATAGTTGTTTAGACAAAATACTACAAAATAACAGTTTTTAATAATACCAAGTGTACTATATATTAGTTTTAATAATAATGTACCAAGCGTAGATATCTAGAATACTACAAAATATCAAGTATTTTTAATAATACCAAAAGTATATTATTTATATTATTTATATTATATATATATAATATAAAATTGAAATATAATATAAAATATATAATTGGTATTAATAATACCAAGCGTAGATATCTAGATACAATACTACAAAATATCAGGTATTTAAAAAAAATATATATATATATTTATTTATTTATTTAAATATATAATATAAAATTGAAATATAATATAAAATATATAATATAAAAATTGAAATATAAATCAATCATAGATAATATAGTTATTTAGACACAATACTACAAAATATCAGTTTTTAATAATACCAAGTGTATTGTATATTAATTTTAATAATACCAAGTGTATTGTATATTAATTTTAATAATACCAAGTGTATTGTATATTAATTTTACCAATATCAAGTGTATTGTATATTAATTTTACTAATACCAAATGTATTGTAAAATTAATTTTAGTAATATCAAGTGTATTGTATATTAATTTTAATAATACCAAGTGTATTGTATATTAATTTTACTAATATCAAGTGTATTGTATATTAATTTTACCAATATCAAGTGTATTGTATATTAATTTTACTAATACCAAATGTATTGTATATTAATTTTAGTAATACCAAGTGTATTGTATATTAATTTTACCAATATCAAGTGTATTGTATA